CAGCCGGCGCAGGAGCCAGCGGGAGCAGGCAGGAAGCAAAGATTCAAAGTCTCCACAGCGTCCCGGCCGGCTCCCGCTCCTGCGGAGTCAAAGGAAAGGAGGGTGATCCCGTTAAGGAGCCCAGGGAAGGATGGGGGTGGAGGGAGCCCCTGTCTGTTTCAAAGAGGGGAAATTTCCCTGGGGTGACAGCCCCCTGGAGAATGGATTCCTGTCCGCTGCCGGTGGGTGTGCGGGCTGTGGATCTCCCTGCTGCCCGCCCCCTCTCCAGCCCTGCCCTCCTCCCGACAGAAAGGTCAGTGTTGCCCTAACAAGGCCATTGGATCTCAGAGGCTGCTCCCAAAATAACCCCCTGGCTGCGGGCCTCCTTCAAAGCAGGAGGGGTGTTTCCAATCGGGCTGGCACTTCAGACCCAGGGAGTGGCTGGAGGAGGAGGAGGGAGGCTGAAGGGAGCAGGCTGCTGGGGCAACTGGGGGGCTCTTCTTCCCCTGGGGGAGCCCTCCTTCCACCCTAGGGTACCCTGAGTCTTGGCAGAAGGAAGCAGCCAGGGTACAGCAGGGAAAGGAAGACCAGGGAACACCCGGTGCTGCAACACTTTAAATCTCAGCACCCCACCACACACGCACGAACAGGACCTGAGCCACAGGGCACTGCCAGCCCATCAAGGAACCTGGTGGCCTAAAGAGAAAGGACCGGGCAGGGTTGGCACCTTTGAAAGCAGAGGAGGGAAGTGAGGACAGTAGGGGAGTCTGGAAAGGGGAGGAGCGCCAAAGCACACCCCTGCATCCTGGGGCAGCCCTGGGAGAACCACCCCAGCCGGCGCAGACCGGAGGGAGGCCACGCCCTGTCCCTCGGAGGGCCCAGAGCCTGGTCTGTCTGCCTCTGCGTCTCAGGGCCCTCTCTGGGGGAATGAGGTGTCTCCGCAATTCTGAGCTTTACAGAAGTGCCCTCTCCAAGTTCCCTGTGTCCTACCAGACTTCACACAGCTTTTGGGGCAGCACCCGGAGGGCAGGGACTGGGGGAGCCCCACCGACTCCTGTGCAGGGGACAGATAAGTCTCCCTGGCTAAGGACTGGAAATCCCTGCCCAGCCAGCCTAGGAGTACAGGGCGATTCTGGGAAGGGTGGGGCCAGCAAGAAGAGGAAGCTCTGTCTGTGCATTTGTGTGGGGGTTGGGGGGAGGGAGGGTAAGAAGAGCCGTAGAAACACTGAAAAGCAAGCGGAAGCACTTGAGAACATTCCACTGTCATCTGACGTTAAGCTCCTCAGACAAACTCTAAATCCCAGGATGATTGTTAGAAGGCTGCTGTCACTGCAGATGTTTTGTTCTTGTTTCAGGACCGGATAGAAAATGGCACATATGAAGCTGTCTGCAGCCACTGCCAGGGAGCTGACCCACATGGCGCGGCAGACCTCTCCTGTCTCACCCGCTGCTCCCCTCAGCAGTGTATTTCAGTCGATCTGCCTGTTCTGCTCCCACTGTCTCTGGTGAATCCTGTCACCCCTGCCTCCGCACCTCCAACCTGCACCTCAGTTCTTGTATGTTTTAAAAAAGAAGAGGAAAATATTCCCTCACTCCTCCCTACTGGTTCCCGGTCTTACTAGTCTGCTCCATGTGGCTCACAGCTCCTGCCACCTAGGGCTCCTTCTGGGGCCACGTGCCTCCGCCAGCTACTGTGTGGCCTCTGCTCACTGTCACTGGCTGCCGGCTGCCAGGCACAACTAGTGGGCAAGACAGTATCCTCTGGGGTTTCCCATCGCTACCCACCAGGCTGACTGACAGCTGCTTCACACCGCAGTGTTCCTTCTCTGCTCCCACCCCGACACTTGCTTTTGCTAGGTCTCACCAAGAAGCTCACTGGTTTCTTCCCAGCTCTGTTCTCAAGGGGAGGGGAGAGCACATCTCCCACAGGAAGATAGGGGACATGGACTTGCCCAAGTTCAGTACCATTTGTGGTAATGCCAAGCAGCCCCATCCACAAGTCTAGGCTCCAAGGAGCTGTTCTGCTGTGCAAATGTAGCCTCTGTTCATCCGCATGGCTCCCTGGGGTGGCCCTACCCAGGCGGGTTCGAGTGCTCCTAAGATTCACCTGTAGAACTTAACAGCAACCGATTCCTGCGCCCTTCCTCCTTCCACCATGGAATCAGAAGGCTCCAGGCAGCTTGCACAGTTGTGTTCCTTTAAAAAGCACCTCAGACAAGTCCAACTTTTATTCTGGAGTAAGAACATCTATTCTTTAAATTAAGAAACTGATTCTTAATAGCTTTTACAAATAAATGGATCCATTTATTTACCACAGGCAATGGAGAGTAGGAAGCTGTGGGGTTCAAAATGTATCCAAATCCCAGTTCGACCTGGTTCTGTGAGGCCTTGGACCAAGCGTTAACTCCTCTAGATCACAAATTCTTCCTCTGTCTGTCTCTGGGTGTCCTTACTATTAAGATGACAGTCTCTCCCTTACCCCACTGGCTGAGGATTCTATGAGTTAATACTGCGACAGGCTTAGGACACACTAGACATTTAACAAATGGTAGCTATTATTGATGTTATACTCACATAAGCTTTTGTCAAGCCATTATGCTTCATAGAATAGTTCTCCTCACCGAAGAGTATCACCCCTAAACCTAAGGGCCTGGCATTGTCGCTCTCATTTCCTCCCAGTGTGCACTCAATGTGAGCCTCGGGTTTATCATCTTTTAACCTACTAACTATCAACAACAGGACACTTTGCTTTCTCAAAGGCGCAAGAAAATACTTTGCCAGACGTGGCCCTGACCTTCCGAGACTTTTCCTGAGCTCTGGCTTACCCCCCACTTCCCTTTAAACCAGCTTTTCAGGGAAAGGGAGACCTCTCGCGGCCCTGGTGTGCATTACAACAGATTTACCTCAGGAAAACCAAGTTCCTTTGCTAGAACGGAATGTACTTAACATGCAAGGGATTTTCAGCTGTCTTGAAGGTAGCTATCCCATTCTTTCCCCTGGTCTTTTCTCACCCCACGGTTCTTTGTTATTTAGGGGGGAGTCTGGGGGCGAAGAGGCAGTACCTGCTCCTACTTATTTCCTTCCTTAGACATTTCTCAAGCCAGACTGCTTCCCAGGGAGCCTAGAGGGGACCAACCGAAAAGCCAGAACAGGGAGCACTGGGCACTGAAATCCACTTGAGTTCTCCTCAGTCATTATTCACTCAGCTGAAGAAGCCTCTCCCCAGAGAGTTTCCTGGCCGGTGAGTGGGTCCCATGCATTGGCTCCTCCTCCCAACTGTTTTTGAAGCAACGATTATTTTCACCCCTCTGGAAATGCACGCACACCTACTAAGTGCCTGGTGCTGGGTTGACTTCTGTATGCCCAGTGGCTGCACACAGTGGGGCGCTTCATCGTCTCCTCTCGGCAGCCTCTGGGAACTGAGAGCTCCCTTCTTGAAATGCTTTTGCACCTGACTCCTAGAACACCTGTCTGAGAACCCTGCATCACTGGCTGCTCTCCAGTCTTTTGCTAGTTTCTCCTCATCCGCCCGACATTGGGAGCCGAGGCATCCCAGATAACCCGCTGGCGGACAGTCTAGTGAATTTTTTCCGGCCACAACTGAGTCAGCTGACATCCATACAGACGGCTCTGCAGCTCACATCTCTCTCTCAACCTTGAGTCACGTCTCCCATCACTCCCATTAACTTCTCCAGGTGCTATCGAGGCATTTTGCACTGGACAAGAACACCAAACCCCGATTTCCCCTCTCAGATCTGCTCCTTTAGCCAACTCCCAGATTATTTGAATCTTTGGAGTAACCCTTAAATCTAACACCCTGCAACAAAACCCTTCAGGCTCAACCTTAAAATAACTTCAGAACTGGCCCTCCCTGGTGGCGCAACAGGTTAGGATGCAGCACTGCAAGCTGGTGGCAGCCACCTCAGTGGGGGTTCGATTCCCACCCTGGAGCTGACCCACATGGCGCATCAGACCTCTCCTGGCTCACCCACTGCTCCCCTCAGCAGTGTACTTCATCCATCTGCCTGTTCTGCTGCCCACTGTCTCTGGTGAACCCTGTAAACACCCCTACACCTCTGGCCTGTACCCCAGTCCTGTATGCATAAATAAATCTTTAAAAAAATAATTCCAGAACCCATCACTGCTGCGCTGCCAAGCATCTCTGCCACCAGACACACTGCCTGGTTTGCTGCAGAAGCTTCCTGACTGCCTCCGTGTCCCCTTCACCTGCTCCCCTGCTGGTCTACACGCACAACCGGTGTTCTCTTTGAAAGAGGCATAATCTGTCCCTCTCCCCTCTAGCGGCTGCTTCTTCAAGGTGCTCCACTACCTAGCCAGCCCCCTCTGCCTGTGCTGCCCCCTCGCCCACTTCAGCCACACTAATTTCCTTCTTACTCCTGTAACAAGGGAACGCTCCTAGCCCCCAGACCCACATGGCTCTCTCCCTCCCTTTCCTCGGGGCTCAGCTCGTGTCACCACCTCTTCAAAAACTTCCCTCACCCCAGCCCTGTCTCCTGACCCTCTTCTCCACAGCACTTACCCTACTGAGGGCAAGGAAGGTGTTCTGTACAGGAGAGTACAGCTGCTGTGTTGTAGGCATGCAGTGTTTGTTGATGGAATAAATGATTGTTCACTAAAGGCAGGCTGAGATGCTGCTTTTCAAAACATCCAACACCCCCCTTCCCCCCCCCACACACACACAATCCACAATCTGAATCCATTTTCCAGGATGTACCGAGTGTTCAGTAAGTTGCACTGGCAAAAGGTCAAATGTCCGGATGAGGGACACCCCTATTATATTTGGCCCAAGTGGGACTGAACTAAGCTGCTATTTTTAGCTCCAGCTTTATGTTTGAGGAAGTTTTCCGCTGAGATGTGGTTACCTACCGCTTATGAAGCTGGCATGCTAAGCTCTCCTCCGAGCTTGGACTGCAGCAGGTTAACCAGCAGTTGGAACCTTGAACTTTCTCTTCCCTTCCCGACTCCCTCCCTGACAGCCTTGTGAGAGAGCAACAGGCATTATCCTTCCTTCTCTGATGACTCCCAGCTGGTAAACAGAATTGATTAACCAACCAGACCCCTGGTTTGAAAAGCAACTAAGAAAGAGGTAGGAGACTTGGGAATTACCTTAAGTAACATGTTAAAGCCAATACTCCACTATGCTTTAGTCAGAGGCAAACGTGGGCTGGTTGGCTCTTTATACCCTGAAGCTCCCAAATTGCCTAGATGGATGGTTCTAAGTGATCAAGCTGACCTTTCCAACACCAGGAGGGGGAGAACATTTTCACACAGTAACACTGTTTTCACACTCATTCTCTCATCAGTTTTCCAGTGGCCAAAGGACAGGCAACATCACAAGTTGAAAGCAGCAGCAGACACGAGTGTCTTCAAGTAAGCCAAACACCCGATCTGCAAAAACGTGAAGCAATGCCACTTTGCTCTTTAATATTGTAATTTTCAACTTGAAATGTTGACATGTATTAGGTTTGATCACAATGAATACCTAGTTTCAAAATGTCCTGGTTTCAGTTTCTAGCGTGATAGATAAAACCCGCATAAACGGGCTTTTTGGGGTCCACAGAGTACAAGTGTAGCAGTTGCACGGAGGCCTGAGACAGCCCCTGAGCCTGCGCTTTAGATGAAGCTGCACCTTCTGTTCCTGGCAGTCAGAAGCTTCCACTGCCGCTTCCTGGAAGATGACAGGGTACTTCGCCGCTGCTCACCACAGCCTTCAGATGTTACTGGATCCTTTCTAAGCTAGCAGCTAGCAGGGGTCTCTCAAGGCAAGTCTAGACTTTTCTAGTAAATGCCCTTCCCATCTCTCCGGGTATAAACCACTCTGGTGAAGCCCAGGTTCCACTGTTAAGAATAAACGGTAATATTTGTGGGGTGTTTATAGAGTAGCAGAATCTAAATAAAACAATCTGTTAGCGTCACCTTTAAAATAGTAGCACAGATACTCAGCCCTTTGGAGGGTATGCTTAAGGTGGTCTCAACTAACGGTAAGTTGTATGGCATCTGCACAACCCACTTAGGGTCATGCGAAAAAGGTAAGACTTCTCCTCCAGCTGAACTTGGGGCTCAGGGCTGGTTGATGAGAAATACCAGATACAGCATGTAGCGCACTCGTGGGGGAGCTGCTGGGCTTGGAGGGCAGCCCAAGGAGGCAGCAGCTGCCCAGACACGAAACGCATGCACAAAGTCACATGCACAAAGTCCATGTTACAGTTGCCAAAAACATGCGAAAGTATTTGAATGCCAGCGATCATTACCAAAGAGTGCACCCCGCCCTCTAACAGCAGCAGCCCCCAGCAGGGCTTCTCAAAGGAGAAACTTCACATGACACGCCTCAGGGTGGACAGCGCCAGCAGGGGTTTATTGAGTGATGGTTAATGAGTCTCTCACGCAACACAGGGCAGGCCAGCTAGTTTATTCGTATTGAATCTAAACCTTAGATCTCTGGCTTGACAATAATGTAAGAAACCTTTAAAGACACAATAAATCTTGCCTTAAATCAGAGATGGCTTAACCCAGTGATGTCACTTCTAACATCCCGGGCTGGCCACTACAGCATGACACATTTCAGTCCAGTTACAAAACCACATTTCATTTTCCTTGGCCACCAAATCTTAAGCTCATCTGAAAAATGCACTGTTTTTACAAAGGCTTTTACCAAATGCCCACTGCTACCAGTCAAGGAGTTTATCGTTTCTTCATCCCCTGAAACATTTGTAAATAAGGGATTCCTCTTTGATCTGCTTGCTTTGATGGGTATATAAGAACTCAGAGGGGACGTTTAAAGAATGAAGATTAACTGAGATGCCAAGAAAAGTTTTTATTGCAAGCACAGTGAGCAGAAGGAGCTGTCTTCTCACACAAAGTGGCCGCAGGTCTGCCATTAACTAAACCTCTGACAACCCTTCATTGGTTTAAAGCGTATTAGTCAGCTTCCTGCTATCAGGTGTACATCATTTCTGCCATGTGGGACATTTTCTTGGGAATATACAAATAATATTCCATGTAGCCTGACAGGTCCTCAATGGTCACATCATCCACATAGACTCGCGCTTGCTCAGAGCAGGAGCGAGGGGAACCAGACAGAATCCTGGTGTGGAGCGACTGAGAGTAGTCCTCAAGCGTGGATCTTCGTTCTGGGGCCAACGGAGGAACATTCTGCAGGCCTGAAAAGGAATACACCTCCATGTCGTGCCATCGCCTACACTGGCACTCCTTGCCTATGCATGCACATGGCTTGCCCTGGTTTAGCTGGGAAACGGATTGAAAGTCAGAGAGATCATTGGCCTTGAGACTTGCGCGGGAGACTTGGGCAGCATCAGAGGAGTCTTCCTTCTTACTCTCCGACGGGAGCCTCAGAACCGAAGTTCTCAAAGGCTCAACAACCGCCCCTGTGTGATTAGCATCGAGGGCAGTGGAGCATTCTCCTGCACTGAACTCTTTAGGGGCTGAGATTCCCAGCCCACTGCTGCCATCAGGAGAGTCAGTCTGGCTTTTGTGCTTGAGCTGGCTGCTGGAAGAAGCTATTGTACTGCAATGTATGAACTTTGGAGGATGAAGGACAGGAGACTTAGAACGTCGGCGGCGCTGGGTTCTTACTGCTCCCCGTGAAGACTTTCTTGTAGACCTAAGGGAAAAACACAAGACGTTGGATACAGGGCTCTCCTGAACGGATTCTTCATGAAAGCTGACCACCTTCAGATGTATGGCTCTGAGGTTGCAAACAACACAAGGCAGGCCAGCTAGTTTATTCACATTCAATCTAAACCTTAGATCTGTATTTGGCCCCATTTTCAACCCACCTATTAAGCCTCTCTGTCTCAAAAACTTCAGTATCTCTTTATTAATAAGCTAGACACACAGGTAAGCTAACGGGGAATTTTAACTGAATCACATGGGCCAGGCAGGACACCTGCTCTGTTCCAAGCTGTGGTTTGGGAGCCTTTGGCTAGTGGGTGTGGGGGAAGCACCCTGCACAGGTGATTTAAACTGCTGCACAAAACTGACGCACTGCGCCCTAGGCCCCAGGTACCGTGACCTTGCACCACTGTGAGGCTAATGCATGAGCGTGGCCCAGTGCAGCAGATCAGGGTCATTCCTATCACTGGTAACAGCTGACAGATTTACACTCCCTGACGTTGTCAGGTATTGGCAGTTATCAGACACACTGTGTAACCTTTTATAAGATAGTTAAAGAACTAAAAGAAAAGAGATTCCAAACTGCCATGCAAATTTGAAAATTGAATTTTAAGAAATAAAACTTTACATATGAACATGGATGGGCCAAATAGCAGAGTACATAAAACTAAGGAAGAGTTACCAAACTGGTAAAGATAAATCTGAATTACTTATGGGTCCTCCCTGGTGGCACAAGTTAAAGCTGTGAAGCTAGCCGGAGCTGCTTTAGGACAAGTTCGATCCCCAGCAAGGGAGGGGACCCACATGGCATGGCAGACCTCTCCTGTCTCGCCCGCTGCTCCACTCAGCAGTGTATTTCAGTCACTCTGCCTATCCTGCTCCCCATTTGTCTCTGGTGAATCCTCTCACCAACTCTGCACCTCTGGCCTGTACCTCAGTTCTGTGTGGATAAATAAAATTAAAAAAAAAAATCTAAATTACTAATAATAGAGGTCAGCAAACTACAGTCCACAGGTCAAATCAGTCCACTATCTGCTTTTGTCCATGAGCCACAGACGCCAGACTGAGGTGACCCCCTTCACCCATTCTCCCCTCCACACCCCACAAGTGCCAGCAGGTGCATCACACCACTGTCCAGGGCCCATGCAGGATATCACCTACATACTGGGGCTCTGCTGTTGGCTTTAACTGCTGGGCACCGAGAGGAGAATCTCAGTCTGAGAGCCTGGCCCGTCTCAGGCTCTCTGGAGGGCAGAAGGGCATGTCGGGATCTGTGTGACATTGAGACCAAGAGTGACCCTGCCACTGCTGCACCCATTCATCCTGCCAGGCTAGACCTTTCATCCTGAGACTGAAGGAACTGAGCACAAGTGTGCCCACCAGCCAGGACCAGGAGTTTCCTCTCTGACAGCACATGTACATATCCGTGGATCTTGTCTCTGGGCCGCCAAGCCTAAAATATTTACTATTTGGCCCTTTTACAGAAAAACATTTGCCAAGGCAGCAGAAGAGGCTTGAAAATTTGGAAAATGTAAAAGAAGTTAAGAGATATGTAAGAAGGCACTCCCTGGTTGCACAACGGGTTAAAGCACAACACTAGGAAGCTGTCCACAGCCACTGCAATACAAGTTCAATTCCTAGCCCAGGAGGTGACCCACATGGCTTGGCAGACCTCTCTTGACCCACCCGCTGCTCCCCTCAGCAGTTTCACTCCATCTGTCTGTTCTGCTCCCTACTCTGTCTCTGGTGAATTCACTCACCCCCTGTACCTCTGGCCTGTACCCCAATTCTTGTGTACATAAATAAATAAATCTTGAAAAAAAAAAAAAGATGTAAGACAGAATAGGAAGTCTGGAGTCTCTGAGAGAAAGAATATGGAGGATAAGTGATTTTTGAGGAGATAATGGCTAAGAAATTTTCTGCATTGATGAAAGGAATGATCTACAGATGGAGGACACTAAAGCAGGACAAATAAGAAATCCACTTCTAGACTCACAGTAAGCAAACTGTAAAATACTAGAAACAACTACAGCATCTTAAAAGCAGTCAGATCACTTCCAAAAGAAAAGTGATATTGAAAACAGGCTTTTCCATACAAACAATAAAACCAGAAGACAGTGAATACCTTCAAGTGTTAAGGTAATTCAACTATCAACCTAGAACTGTGACTGGCAACATATCCGATTAGGTATATCTGTCACAAACAAAGATGCAATGGCTATTTTCAGATAAGGCAAAGTATACTTACCAATAGGACGAGCTATGTAAATCCAGGTGGTACCATGCAAATTTGTTCTATGTGAAGTTATTATATAATACAGGAGGTACATGTTACAAGTAAGACCTTCACTAATGGAGTTTCTGAAGGCAGTGCTTTCAGAAAGAAATCACCCTATCCATAAGGCTTGACATGCAAGCAAAAAATTTATAAGATCAAGCTGAACAGCCTACTGAAGTGGTAATATACTAAATTATGTAAAACCTAGTTTTTTAAAGATTTATTTATTTATGCATACAGAACTGGGGTAC